TGCAGGACTCGTGGATGGAAAAGGAAGGATTAGCAGCGGCGATGGGGTCTTTAGGTCAGGATGTGATGCCGGCTTCGGCTCTGCAAGTGTTGCAGGAGAGGCGGCTCCGCAAGTGCTGTAGGAGGAGAGTCTCTAGTTCCGTCAACCACAAGTCCTTCTGTCCTTTTTTTCTCCCTCTGCTGGTTGCCATGGAAGCATAAGAAGTCGACAATGATGATGAGGAAAAGATTGAAGATGGAGAAGATGGAGATATGGACAGGCATATGTTGTTGGACTATCAATTATTGTAGTTTCCCATGATCGCAACATCGTCGACAATGACCATAGAGACGAGATTGAAGATGGAGAAGAGAAGAAAGGGAAGATGAGAAGTGGGTTTCCTCCATCCTTTCATTGCGGAGAGTTGGGAGAGAGAAAGAATGAGAGAGGACGGTGAGGGAAGGGAAAAGAAGAGAGAAAGGGAAAACAATAGGCTAAATAGGTTTTAAGAGAAAAAGGGGCAAAAAAAGAAAATAGAAAAAGTTTAGTGGGGTATTTTGGTAATTTAATGCATTTAGTCATCTGACTTAACGCTCAAGGGGGTCTTTGTCTCATGGTCATAGTACAAGGGGGTCTTTGTCGCAAAACAAAGTACAGGAGGGCCTTTGTCACAGACCCCATAGTATAGGGGGGGGGGGCTTTGTAATTTACTCAATATAAAAATATTCATTTTCAACCTTTCTATCTAAACCCGAGCTTATAGTATTTTAATCAAACTAAGGTGGCGTTTGATAACACTTTTCAGACCTCTAAAGTCTAAAAATGTTGCTTTTTAGACGCCACCTATGTTTGGGTTGAGTTTGAAATTTCAGATCTGAAATGCATTTTTAGATCTGAGTTTGTAAGAGGCAGGCCAATTACTAATGTGCTCAGAAATTTTTTAGACTACACTAAAAGGCAAAATTGCCCATCCTTGATTTCCCTTACCCTCTCCCTCTCTCTCCCCTTGTCTTCTAGCCACCACCGCTAAAACTCTCAACAGTGGTATTTCCCTCTCTCTCTCTCTCCCCCCTGTATTCTCGCCAATGCCATTGCAAAGAGTTGCAGTGGCGTTCAATTTCCCACTCTCTCTCTCTCTCTCTCCCCCCCTTGTCTTCCTGCCATCGCCGCTGCAACTCTCAACAGCAATGTTTCCCTCTCCCTCTCCTTCTCCCTCCCTCCCTCCGTCCCTCTCTCTCTCTCTCTCTCTCTCTCTCCCCTATCTTCCCATCACCGTCACTACAACTTTCAGCAGCGGCATTCGTGTTCCCTCACTCTCTCCCTCTCTCTCTCTCCCCTTTGTCTTCCCACCACCGCCGCTGCAACTCTCAATAGTGGCGTTCAAATTTTATTCTTAATAATTTATTATTATGTTAATTCTTAATAATTTTTTAATTTATAAATTTATACATATTTCCAATTATATTCTTATCTTAATAAATTATTTTTTACAATTTTTATTTGTATTAATCATTAATTATTTGTATTTTTAATTATCAAATAGTTTAATAGGTTTAATTTAATAATTTGATAATTATTAAATATTTTTTTTCATTGCTTCATGGACATTATTACTATTGTCATTATTATTTTAACTTTTAATAATTTATTTTTAATATATATATATAATTTTATTCTTATTTTAATAATTTTTTTATAATTTATCATAATTTATTCATATTTTTCAATATTATTTTAAATTTAATAAATTATATTTTATGAAATAGTACAAATTGAACTCAAAATTACCAAATAGTATGTTCTAGGGGTAAAATAGTAAAATTAAGGAATTTTAGATGCTGAAGGTTTGATCCAACACAAACAACCTTCTCTATTCAAAGCCTCTAAAAGTGGAAATCTATTTTCAGATTTCAGATGCCATTAATATCTTTTTAACTTTCAGATTTATCAAATGCCACCGAAAACAAAACATACATAAGTTTTGCTCAATTCGGCTTGATTACACCCCTAGTGTGATCAAACTGGTTAGGGGTTTGAATCATGGCTCAATTGGTCCAATTTTTTGAAAACTGGTTTAGAGCATATGACTAACAATGATGTTATGATCTAAAATTGATGATTTTATGCATTTCCTGATTTATAATATTGTAATGGATATATGAGCCTATCCCAATTAGGGATGGCACAAAGGTGGATTCGGGGAAAGTTTTGTAGATTATAGACCTTCCCAACCTCCCCAAACCGTCCAACTCTATCATCTCCAAAATCCATAAAGAGTTGGATTTTTAGAATCCAAACCCTCCCCATACATGAAAATGAAACCCCATCCTTGATCCCTACCCTCTCCACATTTGAGGGTGGAGTGGGTTGGTCCACTACAACATCTAATCTCCTATTATTTCCTATTATTTATAAGCAATAAAATGAGCAAATATCAAAATTTCCAATTATATGTAGAAAACACATAAACCAATCAATTATTATTTACATAAGATTCAAAACATGATTAAATTCAACACATAATACATAATTTCATATGCCTTATAACAACAAATTCAAATATTATAAGCATTAAGGGCGTTTTAGTAAATTTAATTTACAGGTCAGGGAGAGTAGTGTTTAGCCTAATATCATATCCATACATGTATGGGTTATAAAATCCCAAAACCTATCCCCATCCTAAAATTCATTCTCAAAAAAAAAAGCACTTCATGAGAGAGAATGCATAGGTGCCCGTTGAGTAGAGTGGAAATTGCCATCCCCACTCACATTAATCTAAAAGGTACGGGTGCTATTATCCTCTAAAAATTGGAAGGAGTTTTTTACTATCCATTATACACAATAAGTTAAAGTAATAGTTAAAAAAACATAGAGGAGGTTTAAGTAATTTATTCTTATTTTTTAAATAAACAAAAAATAAATGGCATAAAAATTTATAATTTTTAACTTTAGAATTCGACTTACTGATAAAAGCAATGATACCTAGAAAATGATAACCAATCAACCAGTATCATAAAAGCAACAACTAATCAGGCTTTTATACATATAAAATAATGTTTTTTTATATGTTCTGAAGGGCTACACAATGGGAGTAGCCCATCCCCTAACCCATAGAGTTCAGATCTGCACCCCACAAGGGGGCACCCCACAACCTCGCACAACACATTCCCGCCATGTATTAGGAACATCTCCCAATGATGATATCATCGCTTCTGATACTATCATCTGGAGATGTTCCCAATACACGGCGGGAATGTGCTGTGGGACGCCCCCTTGTGGGGTGCAGATGTGAACTCCAACCCATAACCCCCCAACCCAGGTGAGCTTACCAACCAGCTGGTTGGCACCTTTGCATATACAATAAAGTTACATAACTAATCAGGCTTGATTCTTAGACTTTTCAACTCAACTGCTGACAGTCCTACGCATAGCCAATTAGGACTCACTTTAAAAATTTAAATGGTTAGACATAAGCCGTTGGGTTGTTAATGGGCTACTTACATTTGACAGAAACAAACAGTGTCCGGTACTAGGGGTGTCAATTGGAATCAATTTGGTCCAATCAGGTCCGGTCCAATATGAATTTATTACAGATGGACCAAGTCTAATCCAATCTGATGAATACTTTGAAATATTTTGGACTAGTCCAATTCAATGTCTGGACCGTCCAACCTACTCAAATTTGTTTTAGTTTAGATTGGTTCCAACTCAAATTTGGTCCATTTATGCCTGTATTTTTATCTTTTACCAATGGATCGTCAATCCAACTCAATACAATATAAATTCATTACGGATGGACCAGGTCCAATCTAATCTAATAAATATTTTGGACCATTAACTCTGGATTGATCCAATTCAATATGTTTTATTGGCCCGTCCAAATTGATTCTGATTTGCATGAGATCCAACCAAAAATCGGTCCATGGATACCCCTAGAGCCAATCCAATTATGTTATGCATTATGCTTCTGCCTTTCCGGATCAGGATGAATCTTGGTTGTTGTGAGTGTATTATCATGTCCATGTGTTAATTTAACGAATGAGTGGTTTTCTTGTCAAATTAAATACGTCAATTATAGTCTGGTCTTAACAGGTTATACACCTGATAGTCCCAATTACTAATTGAATCAGTTCTGGTTTTGCTATTCAGACCCTGTAGGGCCTGGTTCAGAGCTGGTCCTACGCATTTGTTTATCAGCTCGGGCCAGGTCTACCTTGACCAGGACTATAATGAAGTACTAAACTGAACCCATCAATTAATCACGACACACGTTGAATTAATATTGAGATATGGAGTGATGGAAGGTGAAGGGTCTTATAATCTTGGGAGATTTACATCAAACCTGGCCTGGTTTTATGCATTTTAGAATTTAGACATCAGACATTATGTGCATAATAACATTAATCATAAGGGGACCGTGTATTTCCACATCCTATATTTTCTTCATTGGAAGGAGGGAGTAGGTCATATCATTTATGCAAAGTACCAACATCAGAGTACAGTTTTGCATAGCAATGAGGATTAGTCCTGAAGGCTACCCACTGTGAAATGCCCTAACGTGACTCCGGATCTCCTACCCACAATAATTCTATTAACTCCATGTATTGAGAATATCTTCTCGTGCATAATAACATGTAAGAGGATGAGATGTTGCCATGTGTGATTGCGATGTTATATGGGTAAATGTGGGTAGAATTGTCCTGGGTAGAAAATTCGGACTCCCCTAAGGCATCATCTGCTAAGGATTAACTCTGTAGGGATTCTTATCTTTAATTTGCCTTTAATGGAATTACTATCCTTATTTCAGTTTTCAAACCCCGTCCCAAACCCCATACTAAAAAAAATGTGTAAGATTCATTAAAACTGAAGTTAGAAATACAATCTCCTGAGAATGGAAAAGAGTCTGTTGCTCAAGAAGATCAACAGAACTGAATAGCTATGGGTTTTTTTCCTTGGACTTTGATCATCCAAGGTCTATATGATTGTTCAAGCTGTCATTATTTAATGATGTAAACCCAGTATGGAAATTGCTTGATACTCAATTCAACAAATTCTTATTACAACTCTTTGAGAATCGCTTGACATTAAGTACATACATAATACATGCGCATCTATTTACTGCACAAAGGGTCCCTACTAATTTTGACAGAGAAGGTCTGATTATTATCTCTTCAACCCCAGCAGGAGGAGAAGCAACCCAAAATAATCATATTTATAAAGCAACCTGATGAATTTCAACTTGAAATCATTCCACGGAGGGTACCTTGGCTCCAGGTCTAATAATAAGGTTCTTCGAAGAACTGCTTTTTCATGGGTGAATTCATCAAAAGAGAACTTCCCATGGTACCTTCCCATACCACTCTGACCAACACCTCCAAATGGTAAGCTGTCTGATAAGAACTACAAATATAAAAGGAAAATGCTTTAGTTCACCAAACAATATATAGAAGTGTATGTGTGTGTGGGTAGGAGTGTCAATTGGACTGGATTTGGTCCAATCCGATCCAGTCCAATGTGAGTCCATTATAAATGGACTAGGTCCAATCCAGTCCAATGAATATTTTGGATCATTCTGGACCGATCCAATTTAATGTCTAGACCATCCAATCTGTTCAAATTTGTTTTGATTTAGATTGGTTTTAAACCAAACCTGTTCCATTGACACCTATATTCTTATCTTATATCAATGGACCAGATATTGGCTTAATTCTACCCAATCCAATATAATTTATTACGGATGGACTAGGTCCAGTCCAATCTAATAAATATTTTGGATCAGATTGGTCCAATCCAATATGTCTTGTTGGTCCGTCCAATCCATCTAAATTGATTTTGGACTGGACGGGATCCAATCCAAAACTGGTGCATTGACACCCTTATGTGTGTTTGGGTGGGTGGGGGGGTAACAACAAAGTGAAATAAAATGTCAAACACAAGAAGAATTTTAAGTGCTGAAGTACTTGAAATGCAACATCATTAAAAGTTATGCTTCCCGAAGATGTTTGTGATATCATCAGTTTCTTCAGTGTCTCATCTTTGGTGAAGACATATAGGGCGAGAGGCTTCGGTCTGGATTTTATAAATCCAGCACTCTGTTGAATATTCTTCAACTGCAAAAGGACAATTATGGTGTGAATAGTTGAGTTGTCTTCAATACATGCACGAAATTGCAGCATTATTCAGAAAACACCTCGGTGAAAGAATTCTCACCGTGATTATTGGAAGAAATGGACCAAAGATTTCCTCAGTCATGATCTCAGATTCAAGTGGAGGATTCAATAAAATTGTTGGCTCAATGAACCTTGACAAGAGAAAAGAAGATGATAAGAAAAAGACCAGTACTCATCATATAATCTAAGAGGAAGGATGTGACACTGTATTGCTAATATATAATTTACTATTAGGGTGTCTCTATACCAAACAGGAATTTCATATACAATGATGTAGACCATCCTGATCAATGTGTCGATCTTAGTGAAGTTAGGGTCCATTTGGTTTGCAGTTGGAATTGGAATCAGAATGTTTTATTCCCACTGTTTGTTTGTTCAGACATGAATCAGAATGGGAATTGAAATTAATCTGGAATGGAGTTTCATTCCCAAGGGAGGGGGAGAGAATGCTCACTCCCTCAAATGGGGGAATGGCATTCCAGCAGAAATGGGAATGGGATTCCAAATCTGCCCAACCAAACAGTTGGAATCAGAACGTTCCATTCCGATTCCGAGTCCAGACCCCTATTCCCCCACAAACCAAACTGGCTCTTAGATCTGCCTGGATGATTCTAACCATCTCTTTTCCAACATAAAGTTATGTATGAAGGCATAGCATTCCACTGTCATTTCCTTATCCATGATTGGAAAGAGTACTGTTATATGAAGGGCCATAGAAATTACAATTTCTCTTTATCTACTGAACCACCATGAACTATTGAATTTGCAACTTCTGGATCTCTTATAAGCTTATGCAATCTCTCAAAATGGTGCTCATTGATAATCCTGACATAGTCGTTGCATTCCTTTGTGTTTTTACCATAGAATTTGTTGATTGCTTTTTTTAATAAACCAATCTGTGAAGAGCAAGAAGTCGAAGAATAATATCATATTGTGAAATTGTTACTAACTTCCAGATCTTAAATCAAGTCAGAAGGAAGGAGAAATGAGGTTATTTATAGAATACCAGAGTAAATGCAGACTTTTCTTCTACAAGGACATAATCAACTCCTATACATGATTGGCCATTGCAGAGCCCCCATTTCCCCCATGCTATTCTTTTGACAACCACCTTGAATTAATCAAAACATAATTAAGAAAAAGAGAGAATAAAGAATAAAGGAAAAGGAAAGGTTTAGGCCATTGTCCATGCAAAATGAAATGTCAACTACTGTTACATTTGCTTCAGAAATTTAGTTTAGAACATGGAGTACCATCTGCAGAAAATGATCTAATGCCCACCAGCCTACATCAGGTATGGATGCAGTATATGGATAGACCATACAGGTATCCATCTCTAACTTATGTGAATGGAACAGAACAAAACTCAACCAAAACAGCTAATGACACCATCTATATATAATGGTTATTAACATCAAAAGAATGTAATATGATAACTGATTTGGATCTATTTCACCTTTCTTTATGTTAGTAATTTATCTATCTCTGCTCAAAGGTGATCTCCATACCAGATCTTAATGTGCCAGAACAGTAAAAGGAATAGCAATACAGCAATTACCTCCATTTCTGAGGAGCTAAATCGGGTGTCTAAGACAACAGGGCATTTTCCACCTAACTCTAAAGTTACAGGTGTCAGATGCTTCGCAGCCGCAGACATAACGATACGCCCTACACGTGGACTCCCTGATAACATGTAGAGATAGGAGTAGCAAAAACATAAGTTGGAGGCAAATGCCATATGATACTTTGCATGGTTAAGACTTAAGACCATCCAATAAGCTTATACAAGATAGAAGATATGTGATTTAATGGGTATGGGTCTCTCTAGCTATATCCAAATTTCAAAACAAAAAGCCTATGGATTTCTAGTTGTTGTGGAATGTAAATGGTCAAGTATTGATTACTACCAGTGAAGAATATCTTGTCCCACTTCTCTTCTAAAAGTTGTGCTGCAATAGCTGCTCCACCTTCAATAACCTTAATTGCTTTATTGTCCAGGTAACGTGGAATGACAGTGGCAAGAAAAGAGGAGCATGTAGGAGAAATTTCAGAAGGTTTGATAACTGCTGTGTTGCCTGCAGATATGGCTCCGATCAGTGGTTCCAATGCCAGGCCTGAAACCAAACATCTCATTAGCTGGACATGTGAGAGATCATATAAATGTAATTAGCCAGAGCAGTAGCCAAATATTAACAGTTATTTAGAACACCAAAAGAACCGGAATTAGAGATTATTGCCATTGTTAGAGAATAAAAACCTATTTAGGGACATAAAATAAAAGCTTAAGGTCCTTGAATAACACGCCCCCTCATGCAAAAAATCATCAAGCTCAAAGCATGGACAAATACAGGCCCAACCATACCTTATTCTTAAATTTAATTAGTTATAATGAGGGATGAAGATCAAACAGTAGACCACTTTGTCAAACAGGTTCGATGCCATCTCAAAGGACCATTTAACTTAAAAGCTTAAGATGTTAGATGAAGTTTCTGAATAGGTTTTTATTCTCTAACACACCCCCTCACACGAAAGCCCATTGGGTTCGAAGTGTAGACAAGCATAGGCCCGCCCATCCATACCTTTTGCTAAAATTTAATTAATTATAATGGGGTGATGTGGATCGAAAACTAAACGACTTGGTCAAACTGGCTTTGATACCATATCAAAGAATCATTCAACTTAAAAACTTAAGCTGTTAGGTGATGTTATTGGCTTGGATAGGTTTTTATTCTTTAACATGCCTGCTCACGCGAAAGCCTGTTGGACTTAAAGTGTGGATAAGCAAAGCCCACCCATACAATCTCAAAGAACCATTAAACTTAAAAGCTTAAGCTGTTAAATGAGGTCCCTAAGTAGGTTTTTATTCTCTAGCATGCCCCCTCACACGAAAGCCCATTGTAATGGGGTGGTGTGGATCGAACACTAAACGACTTGGTCAAACTGGCTTTGATACCATATCAAAGAATCATTCAACTTAAAAACTTAAGCTGTTAGGTGATGTTATTGGCTTKGATAGGTTTTTATTCTTTAACATGCCTGCTCACGCGAAAGCCTGTTGGACTTAAAGTGTGGATAAGCAAAGCCCACCCATACCTTTCAGCGAAAACCATAAGAAGGAGAGAGAGAGAATACAACTCAATTGGTTTCTCAAAGTCATGCACCCTCACATTGTATATACTTCTCAGTTTGGAAAGAGTACAAATGCAAATATATACAGAAATAGAAATTAAATTTGTACTCCTTCCAAACTGAGCCTACAGAAAATAAATTGATATCAAGCTAGCCAAAATAGTAACAAAGAAAAGAAAAGCAAAAACATAACTCACTCATGGGAAAGTTCCAAGAGGAGAATATGATAACAAGGCCAAGAGGTTCGGGCAGCAATTCAGCAGTTGCAGGGAAGAAAGCCAGAGGTAGTTTAGTCTGCAAATTCATATAAAATTTCCGTTGCAGAATTATATTAACAGAATTTTACCAAAAGAAGTACATTGACAATGCCACAATGTACATTAATGCTATAGGTTCCATCCATTAATCATAAGGCTGTTTCTGGGTTTAATAGAAAATAAGGTAAGAAGTATCTGTTTCTCTTACTTCTTCTTCCACCATTTTTTGCCGTATGTTATAACTTTTGTCTTTTATGGTGATGAAACAAATGTATAAATGAATAACCAGAAAAAAAAATAACGTACCTTTTTTGGTGCAACCCATTTCTCCAAGCAATCCAAATTGTGCGTCAGTGATTTTATTAGGACTCCGACCTAAAAGGTAAAGGTACATGCAAACTAAAATATTAACCTCAAAGACAAAGAAAACCAGGAATCGGTCATGTTTTATCCCAAAATCGCTTTTTGGCTAAAACCTATTGATTTGGTTAGCGAATTATTGACTTAAGCGGTCGAATCATCAACCCGGATAGATTGTTTTTTGTTTTTTTTTTATTTATTTTTTGAATCATTCATTCAGACCATTCAACCTGAAAACCGGACCCAGAACAATTCCCTATTCAGTCCAATTTTAAAAACCTTAGAAACAACAGAAATCATAGAGTCCAGATTTACAAGATTAACAATCCAATTAGGAAAAGGAGAACAAAAAACAACCAGCTTCACAAACACCTCTAGGAGAAAAAGGATGGTAATTGTTGTTGGTTGGCGGGAGGCAGGAGCACATATAAGTAATTATAAATCATGTATGTACTCTATGTACGCGCATATCTTTAACAGTTTAACTAATGGCCAGCAGGAAGGAGCAAGGTTTCAAACTGGACTAAAGGCCGTCCAAACCCAACCTGAAATCAAATTTTGGGAATCTTATTTTAAGGTTTTGGGTATAAGGTCCAGATCAGATGGGATCGCAGTCTTGTGCATTTCATGATGTTTGATTCGGATTGGTTTATATTGAGTTTCAGGTTGAGTTCGAGCCTAATTTATAGGTTTGTTTATTGTTCAAATTGATGGCTTGTGAGACTTGTGAGCTTAATCAAGATTATATTTTATATAATATTTTTATTTTTTATATAATAAATAATTTTTATTTGTAAAATCAAAATATATTTTTTAATTTTTATATTAAATTTGGACTACAGTCAAATTCGAACAGAGTTAAGCTGAACTTGAATATATGAGCTTTTGAGCTGAGTCAATTTAGATCTCAAATTCTCCAATTCCAACTTAAATTGAATCCAAGCTCAAATAACCAGATATTCAACTTGGTTCAACTCAAATCCATCCTTTATCTGCTCCCTGTTCAAAGATAATCATGGAAATACAGAGATCAAATCAGTCCCCCACTTATCATGTATCTGGTATTATCATCGGGAGATGTTCTTAGTACACAGTGGGAGATGTGATGTGGGATGTTGTGGAAGGCAATGTTGTGGGGGGGCTGATTTGAAGTTGGAAATACGCTAGATTTGACCTGTTTTCTGCACTAGCCACTCTTGTGTACTGCATAACACCCCATAGAGTTTACATCTGTGCGTGCCCCACAACGTCCCACAGCATATCTCCGTTATGTATTGAGAATATCTTTCGATGATAATAATAGAAATGATAATGTCATCATCGGAAGATATTCTCAATACATGGCTGGGATTGTGCTATACTACGTTGTGGGGCGCAGATCTGAACTCCACCCCATATATGGATAAGTGAAAATTTGACCCCAGAGTACGACCCACCGTGAACTGGGCCAAAATTAAAAGATGAATAAGGGTACAGAATGGGCCAGTTTGGTTGGGTTGAGGTCAGCTCAAGCCCAATCTGAATTCTGAAACGAAGGGTACTTCAGCCAACCTAATCCAAGTCTAACCTGTTGAGAACTCGTTACATAGTTATCTATTCCCTTTAAGAACCGTCAGGTGGGCGTGCCGGAGTGGTTATCGGGCATGACTAGAAATCATGTGGGCTCTGCCCGCGCAGGTTCAAAACTCAAAAGGGGGCAATTACTGTTTTACCCACACCTGGATTTCTATCCACGACAATTCGAGAGGCCTGATTTTTCATAATTAGGTGGAGGTAGCCAATGCATAGCCTGTTGTAAATCTGGACATCTAAAGACGAAATTGGAGGTGGAGGGTATCAAGTCTTGGCCCATTTGTCTTTGTATCCATTTGTCTGAGTTTTCTGCACAACTGAATTGAATGATGGGGCTGATCATCTTGAATGATCTCTCAAGTCCTAACCGCCACCTTCAATTGAATGGTTGAGCTTTCAAGTAATTAATAAGCTCCATGGTTAGCAATAGGCATGGAACCATCAAGAAAACGACTGAAACAAATCCAGAAATGGTAGACTGAAACAAAGAATTTTACGTGTCTGTGCTCTCTAGTTAGATCGACTTACTTCATCACGAAAAGCTTCGACTCGGTGCTTGCCGACGTCTTCGTGGATAGCTTCCAAGATTTGTTCTTCGTTGTCGCGCAGGAAATTGAGGAGTGCTTGCAGCTGAGCTTTCCTCCAAGATATGCTTCGTGTCTTCCCGCTTTCGAATGTCCACCGGAGCTCCTCCAGGCTATCTCCGAGAGGACCGAGACCCAATTCTGCTAGTGCCATTGTTGTGTGCTTCACCAATCACCTCACCCACAGACCCACTCGTCTCGTCGATCTCTTGCATAGACTCATCAAAAAAAGCTCGACTTTTGGTGGGCTTTTATGCGTTGAGGAGATGCTCCTGGGTTTTGGAAAATTTACAGTTCAACTCTCCATCGTTTTCATCACCTGAACCCCTTTATTTATTTCCAGGTGGCATTTACAGAAGTATCTTCACTTTTTATGCTCAGTCCTAATTTCAAGCATTAATTAAACAAACCAAAGAGTTAAAAGCCTTGTTTGAATTAATGCAATTCAGTATAAGTGGGGATGATTTTGATTTGAGCACAGAGTGAAAGATAACCACACCAAACAGATTGACGAGGTTGTCACGTTGAGTTTTTCTCGAATAAGGATAAACTAATAGTGGTAGGTGCCAGTTCGGAATTCGGAATGACGGTTCAGCCCGTTGGGACAAGTGTCAATTCGGTATTGATGTTAATTTATGGACAGTATTGGAGTTATGGTGTATAAAGCGGGGGTTTTTTGATATTTTGAATATTTATAACTGTATAGTAGAATTCAAAAATCTGCATTGGACCTATCTTTATAGATTCATGCAACGTGATTGTGAGAGAGAATAATCATAGTGCAAATTATACAATAACCAAAAGCATTTATCTACTAAATACTAACTGCCCTCACCAACAACTCCAATCGGGTTACCTATCACATTCATTTTCCTTTCAATTTCAATCTACATTTGCTACAACACGTAGGCGTTAGGAGAATGACAGTTACGAATTGATGCTAAATCATGGGTCGGTTGTTTTTGATATTTTGAATGTTTATAGTTTTGTCCTAAAAATAAGAAATCTGTATTGGGCTTGTCTGTACTTTTCCGAATAATTAAATCAAAACCTTTGATTTGATACATTGAATTAGATGAAGTGACTTAGTGGTGGGCAGTAGATCCAAGGCCACTATTTTCTGTTTTAGCACTATTAATTGTAGCAAAAATGAGCTCCTTGAATTTTGGATCAGATTGACCCCTCACACAGCATTTTCAACGTTTACATTTCAGCGTGTATTAGAAACATCTTCTGGAGATATTCTCAACACATGGTTGGAGTGGATTATGAGACACATGGGTGTTTATGCAAATTCTCAATGTTGATGATACTTCCTCTTGCCACTATTACAACTGTACAAATAAATAAAAACCCTAAAATAGACATCTGCAAATAAATTTTGAACGAAAAAGTAGGTATAGTCACCCATAATAAAATATAAACTTGCAAATAAATCTTGAATGACAAAGTAGATTGGTCATCAATTAGGCATATGGGTGTAAACGGATCAAATTCAAATCGGATCAAGCAATATTCGAATTCAAATCCAATTAGAAAATTTGGTATTCGAATTCAGTTAATTAATTATTTTAAGTAATTAATAAATATATAAAATAAATAGATTATTTATATAAAGTATATAAATATATAAATTATTTATATATTTTAATTATTATATATATATATATATATTATATTAGACATTTAAATATTTTATATATTATATATAAGAATAAATAATTAGTCAAATTTAGAAACTTATCGAATTGAATCAGGTCATATTTGAAATTGAATCCAATTAACTATTCGACATAAATAGGATATCTGAATTTGATCAATTAGATATTTGAATTATCCGAATCCAATTCAATTATATTGAATCTAGAATTCAAAATTTGATTTTTGAATACTGTTGACACTCCTAATTAAGCGTGAGAGAAAGAGAAATAAACTCTCCATAACAATCTCCATTTGTATTGGATACAAAATTTTATTACATAAAGCGAAACAAGTTAAATTTGGCAACGCTCCCTCACGTCACCGATCCCTCCTACCTCTCCAACCAAATAAAAAATATGGTTGGCAAACTTTAATGCTGTCCTTATTTCCAACCCACCTAACCATGGAGGAGTGTGGAATCACATGAAAATCTCCTCTTGAGTAGAGATGTGTCATGTCCCTGGCTGGGTAAATTCGTCTTGATCCAATGAACCTCAGGTCAGTTTCAACAACGGGGGATAGCCAGGGAGCAGAGGGGAGTCATGGCCCCCTCCGAGTCTTAAAAAATAAAATTCATTTATATCCCACTTATATTTTTAGCTCCATTATTAGCTTGTCACCCAGACATTCATATTTATTAGTTCTTTATTCCAGTAAAGAAAAATCCTTTGCTCCGCTACTGTTTGACAAAGGTGATGCTTGGCATCGATGCCGATTTTTCAGAAATCGGTGCCATATTGGATCCGTGTTAGCTGCAGAAGAATCACTGTTGCAAAATTCGTTGGTTGGCTGATTTTTCCGATTTCTAGGAAATTGGCGAATAATTGTTCCCTTAAATCGGCCTAAGTGAGGGATCACCATTTTCAGTGATACCTAGAAAGGTTGCAACTTGGGTTGGGTGGGCTTGAACCCAACCCTAATCTAACCCAAAAAGGTTGGGCTGGGTTGATGCTCGGGCTAGGGTTAGGGTTGAAATTTATGAACCCGGCTTTATTTTGGGTTGAGTTAGGGTTGATCTCTCGGGCAACCTGACCCAATCCGAACCCGACTCTATAGTATACATCATATATATATACATATATCAATGTTTTTGAACCGCCATTGACTCGGACGATTGGATCGTTTGGCTCGGAAACCGTTCAAGCAACCGGTTCCGTTTCACCCCTGACCTGCTCTTGGATAAAAAATGTTGACTTGGTCAGAAAACTGCTGACCCGGGCAGTCGAACCATCGATTCGTTTGACCCGAACAGCGGTTCGCGGTTTGAGAAATTGCAGATCTGATACACGAATTCAGATCTGATATCCAAGAAGAAGAAGAAGAAAAAGTTGCAGATCTCAGATCTAGATCTTAGAACAAGAAGAGAAGAAGAAGACGATCTCATATCTAGATCTAAGAAAAAATGAAAAATCAATCTCAGATCTGAGATTTGAGAACTCGTATGAGATCTGTCATCTGCGTTGTGTTACCCTGCCGTTGCCGTCACCGTCGCCGGTGAGCATCAAATCATTCTCCTCCTCTTCCTTCTTCTTCCCTCCCTCCCTCTTTCTTTCCTTCCTTTTCTTTCTCTTCTTTTCCTTTTTTTTTTTCCTTTCTCCTTTCTTTCTTTCCTTCTTCTCTTCTTTCTCAGTCGACAAAATACTCTTCTCCACTCCTCCACTCCTCCTTTCTCTATCTCTCATGACTCATATACTATTTGGCCTTTCCTAATATGAAACGTTCGACCCGGATAGTCGAACAACTGACCCGGAAACCGGTAGTTAAAACGGTTTCATTTTCAGGTCAGTTTTTAAAACCTTGATATATATATATATATATATATATATATATATATATATATATATAATGACTATATCATATATTGATTTCTTTATCTCCTCTCTGTTATTTGCCACTCATACCTTGCTGCCCATAAAAGATCTATTATAAGTCATAACTCATAATAAACTATAGTCATTTCAAACATATTTTTTTCTAAATTGTGTACTTAATGATGTGTTTGGTTGCAATGCAAATAAATTTGCACTAATGCAAAATCATGGATACTGTGTTTGGAAACGATGCAAATAGAGTGCAAATCCCGATAAGTTTGCACTTTGGTTCATTTGCTTGTGTTTGGCAACTTTATATTTATGCATTGACAAATGACAGACCAATGCATATTTACATTGATAATAAGATGTAAAAGCACGTTAATGAAAAAGAAGTAAATTTGCATTCAAGTGGGCTTTTGATAAAAAAAAAGCATATGCTTTATTGAAATTCATGTTTGCATCCATTATAGCTAAAATTTTGTTTGGTAAGAAGGTAAATTTGTTAGTGCAAAACTAACCCAACTTTGCAATTTATATGAACCGTTTTACACTCTACATATTTGCATTCACACTTATTTGCTTCGTTTCCAAACGCAGCCGGAAGCGCAAATGATTTGAATGTAAATTTTGATATATTTTTGTTTCAAAATTTAGCTTATTTTGTTTGATTGCAATATAAATGAACTAAATTAAGACATGAAGTAAAACCCAAAACAAAATTAAATGAGAATTTGCATTTTTTTCATTTGCATTCCCATGCATTTGTACTAGTGCAAATAAAATTGCACTGCAACCAAATGCAGCCTAAAGAACCAATAAAAACACCAACAAAAAAATAATAATAAAATATAGGATTAGTATATGTAATGAAAGTTGAGTTAAGATCTAAGATTAAGAAGTTCTACGAGATTTTAAGAGATGAGAAGGAGGTTGGGTTGGACCTAACCTGAAGTTTGGGTTGGGTTAGATTGAAGAAATTTAGTTGGGGTTAGGGTTAGGGTTGGGTAGATCGGGTTGGATTAGGGTTAGGGTTAGGGGTTTAGAACTTAGGGTTGGCCTCAACCCGACCTAACCCGGCCTGACTTGCAGCCCTATTTCTCGGATTTCTCATTGGTTCCAATTATTTTTCTTATGATGTGGTATCCGATGTGGTCAAGGGAAAAAAATGATCCAGTGCTTCACTGTCTCACCGTGAATCCTATTTGCAGATTTCTTACAAAGAGGCTTTGAAGTACAAGAGAAACGCTGCTACTCGAGGTATATTGGCGCCTCGACTCTTTTCTCATGGAGTAGCAACCACCCACCACTGAAAATGACCGTTGGCAGGTGGTTACATTATGATTTACACTATATTGTTTTCATTTTCAAAAGGGGTTAACCGCCACCGCCATGGATAGCGGCTCCCCTATTTCAGAGATGGAGGGCATCTAATGTTTTTCTTTTTATTGTAGGTTTTGTTTGTTCTATTCATGGTTTTAAAAGGCGATTGAGGTGAGGCGAGAGGTGTACACCTCAAGGCGAGGCAGAAAAATTTTACCTGGCCTCAATATCAATCTCAGAGCAAGGGCGCAAACCTCAGTTTTAGTGAGGCGTAAGCCTTTGGCCTTTTGCCTCAATTTACATGAGGCAATAGCCTTAAGTTAAAGGGGTTTTGGGTGGGGAAATTGGATTTTAGTATGGGCAATTTTGGAA